GTTGATTATATAGGGTCAAATTTGTGAGTTAACCGCAGTAGCATCCGTGCACTAATGAGTGCATAGGTGTGGTTTTGTTGTTGAATCATCTGAGTCATATTTAAGCCAGGAAAGCCATCGGAAGAACCACACAAATCCCTTTGTTGGTATTAGATTGTTACAGCATGGTGTGCTTTCACTCCAGTTTAAGGAACTTTACATATAACTCCAGGTTTTTACTATGTAGACAGTGCATAAGAAACATCATCACTGTGCAGCTGTGTTCACTGTGATGAGCTCACTTTTACTTTTTCACACCATTAAGTTCTCACCCACATTCTCTAGAGGGCGGCAAAAAAAAGCATGTCAGTGAACTGTATCAAAGGCTGGTTGGCTGACCTCAGTCCTTAAATTATTTTCATGCATATATGACACTGTTTTTTCTTTTTTTAAATCAGCCACTTCATGTTCTTAGAGTGATATAAATACATCACATTTGTGTATATTTTTCCATGCACAAATAAAAAGGAAGTGCTATTAAAAATCATTTGTGCCGCACTGTATGGTCATACATGTAATAATAATTAGAAAACATCCCTACATGGCTGCTCTGTGAAAAGTCATGCAGGGACATTGCCCACTTGTTTAATATAGAAGAAAGAAAAAAAAATGCACATCTCAAAAAAAAGGACATTCTGGGAAATTTGGTTGCCTCACAAAGTGCACGTCATTTCCTCCTATGACAAATGTGTGGTTTCTGTCTTTTAAAAAAGTTTTAAAGGAGTGTGATTATGACGAGTCCGCGCAATTTGCCGATGATACTGAGGGGAGAATGAATGGTCATGTAAAGAGTATGCATTTTCAACAATTCATGCAACCAGCAACAAGTAAGTTTACATCTACTTTTCTATTCAAATATTGAAAAACAATTAAACACAGTTTCTTCTTTTCTTGTCATTGTGCATGCTGTTGTGGTTATTTTCAGTGCCTTATTGCTGTGCAGCTGCCTGAAACTGCTTTAAGTTTCAGATTCAGAATTTACTGCTTCAGTTTTTTAACAGTTTTTTTCAGCATCAATGAAGTAAACTAGTGTTTAAACTGTTTGACAACAATGTTTGTAGGCATCTAAACATACTGTTAACTACAGTAGGCTATATGACTTTATACATTGTCTGAACTGATAATATAGTTGAGTTTTGGGGGGGGGTTTCTTGCTGAATATTTGCAAAGTGAGGAATCTATTTTTATCCCTCCTGCCTTCCACTTGTGGCTTTAAAATGAAGTTCCCCCCGCCGATGGGATGTAGGATAACCTTAACTGACCAGTTCCTTTCTCCTCAGCGTTACTCTCTCTCCTGCTGGTTATGGCTGTTGATTCAACAAGAACTGTGGCAGCAAGCAGAAACCAGCAGTGTGGGAATTCACTCCAACAGACTTTGAAGCTAACCAGACTCATACAGAAGGAATCTGTTGACCTAATCAAAACATATGTAAGTGCACACATAAAACTGTTGTATCTTATTTTGCTGTGTTAAATCCTCATCTGCTTGTTCAGTACGCCTTTAAACATAGTATGCCGACTATTCCTTTTAAAGATGTGTGGCTTATTGGTATCTGATTAATTTTTCTTTTTTCTTTTTTTTTCTCGCAGAAAGCCTCTCAAGGAGAAATGTCAGAGCTCTTTTGCAAGGTGTCAGTCAACAACGTCCCTGACCCCAACATCTCCGGCCTTGAGCAATCACAGAGGATAGCGAGCATCTACACACATCTCCAAGCCTTCTTCCCACATTTTAAACGGGTGTATGAGCAGCAGACAGACTTACAGTTACCCACAAGCCCATTGCTGACCAAGCTCACGGCCGTCAGTGCTGGCAGCAGGAACCTGGCAGATCGCATTAAAAGCTTTTATCAGAGCCTCTTCCCGAACCTGCCGGAACCGGAGCCAGCAGGGGGGCCGACAACACTACCTCCACCCCAGAATGTCTTCCAGCAGAAGGTCTACGGCTGTGTGGTCCTGAAGACCTACAAGGAGCTCCTGTCAAATATTTCCCGAGAACTGAGGACTAACAAAGTGTGCAGAAGGACACAAAAAAACACACTCTTTTTCTGAGGATGACCTCATGGCCTTAGACAGTCAGTTTTCAACAATAAAGATTTTAACATATGTGTGAGTATGAAGGTGGCTGGTACATCAGTGAAATTATTTATGGTATTTAATATTTATTTTCTTGTGTGTTTCTGATAAGACGAGTGCTGTCAAAAGAGGGTAAAGAGGCCCTATGGAAGTCATGTATATTTAATTTGTCTAATATGTTATATAAGGTTCTACTTTGCTGATGTAAACTTATTTGGTGTATAAAATTATTAAAATATACTTTGCATCTGTACTTCTTTATGATCTCTTGTTTTTTTTGTGGTTGCATCTATAATGTACAATTTCAGCGACATGGGAGTGTCTTGGAAAAAAAGACAATGTCAAAAAAAGTAAACAGATTTTCATGCATTACACAGACTTATTTGCTGTACTTAAGTATCTGTTTCTGCACTGTTGATAAAGCTAAATGTCTTTGTTTTTGACAAATGTTAAAAATAAAAAATCATTTGAAGCATCATGCGCTGTGCACAGAATCAGTCCATCAACAAGGGTTAAAAGAAAATCAGGAAGCTGCTGAGACGCTGACTGTGTGATATCAGCTCAGAATGACGCATGTGTTCGGCACAAGGCTGCATCAGATAGGAAAGATTTCATGAAACTGTCGAGCTGTCTGGCTAGTCACAAGGTGTGGGTGTGTGTGGGTCAGATAACTTTATGTGTGGTTGGAGCACTTGCATCCTCATATAGATGGAGATGCAAGTGTGTGAAGGGTGGGGTGGGGAAAACGGAAGAGAGGTTGAAATTCTGACCCCTTTTTTAAATGGATGAATAGCAGACAATGCATGCAAACTTGTCATCTGTAAATATACACGCACATGCACATGCACACACACACACACACACATACATATAACAGATACTAAATATGTTTGCTGGAATTAAGTAATGCTTAACTAAACTTTCCTCAGATCACAAGCTCTCAGGAAACTGGAAGTAGATGGGGGATTCACTGTAGGTCATAAATCAAGTTCCCTGTTGTAACTCTGCTTTATTTAAAGCACAACACAGAGGGCACCTCAGGGCAACAGTCATTCTTTAGTCTACATTTTTAATTCATTTCCACTACCCACTTAATGCTTTACAAGACCATAGAGAGCTATGAAGTCAGCTGTGAAACCAGCAAATGCAGCTTTGTGAAAGTGCAGCTCACTGTAAAACGCTCTCTAATCCACCTGACTTGCATGTTTTTGGCTGTAAGAGAAAAACCTAATTATCTGCCCATCTTCAGCACCAACGTGGGCAAGAACATGCAAACCCCAACAGAACTAGATGGCTGGAGATTTAACTCAGGACCTATTGAAGTTTCTGTAACATATATAACATCGCACAGTTGCTTTGGATAAAGGTGTCAGCTAAATGAATAAATGGGTCAATCACTGAGAAAATGTGTCAACTTCTGCACAACTGCAATTTATTGTATATATTCTGTCAAACTACTATTTCAAGGTCAAGAAAAAAAGGGTGTGTAAAGGAAAATTAATGGTTGCAAAGCAGCACACATAATTCCCACATTCCCATTTAAACATGAGATTAAAAACAAGACGATGAGTCTACAGCCAAACTAGGAGCTCTGTGAGGATGTGCTTCACCTAATGCTAACATGAGCATGCTATCATGCTCAAAGTGACAATACTAACAAGATAATGTTTGCCATGTTCACTATCATAGTTTAGGGTGTTGGAAAGCTAATGTTTGCTAGTTGGCAAGAAACGCAAATAGCGTGTTGATGATGGCAATGTTATTGGTTTTACATGGATTCGGTTATAAGTACTGGACCAAACTGAAATTGTGACCTGATGATGGTGCTAGACGTTAAGGCATCCTAAGGGGTCTCAGATACTTGAACTAAATGTTATTTGAATCCATGCAGCATGTAGAGAATATTTAAATTTGTTTAAATACAACAAAAAATGTCAACCTCATGACAGTGCTACAGAAAGTGTCAGGGGATCATAAGACTACATCACCTGGGCTAATCCATCTTGTAAACATCAAGTTATTTCACTAAATAAGCAAAAAACTTGAACTGATGGCTGCACTAGAAGAAAATTCAGTGACTGCCAAGCTCGAATTGATCCTCTGGGGACCTTAAATATCTTTAGCAAATTTTGTGTCCATTCAATAATTGTTGAAAAATTTCAGTCTGGACCAAAGTTGAAGGTCGACTGACTGCTTTGCAAAACTTAATGTAAACTATGAATTTGCTACATTATTATCTCTCTTATCCATATAAAGAAACATTATTATTCTATTAGCTGTTTGGATATAATTTTGATAATAGATAGCACCAATAGACCTTAGAGTGACCTTGAGCTGAATAAATTATTATGCTGACCAAATGTTATAGATTCAAATAGTTGTAGGGATTGTTTAGGATGACTAGATAAGATAGATAGAACTATATCTGTGCAAATGAGTGTAGAATGTGCATTGTCATTCAGACAATAAGTCACCTCTTCCAGGAATGACTTCCTGTAGCAGTACTTTACTTTCTGCAGAGCTTAAGGAGTCTCTGACTGAAGACACTGTTGTCCGACGAGTAGTTGGTAGAAGTGTAGTAGAGTAGAAGTGTTATAATTGTGAGCACTTTGTGCAAAATCCATCTCTCCACAACCCAGCACAGAGCCAGCCTTCTTAATCAGCTTGGAAACATGAAAAATACTCGTAGCACATTTCCAGCAACATGTCTTGACAGAACTTAAGAACACTGAAACACAACCGATCAATATCCAGTGTGACTGTCCAGCAATGAACACAAACACTGGCAATTAGAAATCTGAAACACAATTACTTATGTGATATCTTATTGAAAGATATGGACAACTTTACAAAGTAAAAACCTAAATAACACAATGACATCAACCATAGAAATAGACATATCTTTAATGAATCAGGTGCAGGTATATTGTCATTTCACATGATGTTCATACTTTGAACTGTGGGGGGCAGTATACACCATGAAGAGCATCAGATGTGCTGATGGTTTTCTTAGGATGTTCATCACTTGGCAGTCAAAGGATATACTTAAAATATTTTAGTTATTTAAATTAATATACATCACACAACAAAAAGACTTGCAAAAGCTGGGGACACAATAAACAGGTATTGATAAATGCCCGAAAAGAAAACAAGTCAACGTATTGGCAATTTTAACCTTTTTACTGATACAACACAGTAGTATGAATCTGACAGGAAACATGAGGAGGAAGAGAGGAGGTGGGTGCCAACAAAAATCCCTAGCCAGACTAAAACTGGAGATGTTGTGGTCAATATATATGATAGACATCAACTTCTGACTACTTACTTTATTTATTCTTACGCTGTCATATACATTTTTTTCTCTGTTTCTCCACTTTACCATAAAGGATTTTGAGATTACTGTTCTTGACGTTGTTGCTAATAAATGTGTGTATTTACCACAAAAGTCGCACCAAAAGACTGGAGTTATGAAACTTGTACTAGCTCTTGAAACAAGAGCTGTTACTATCGAGAGCTTAAGATTAGCTTGACATCTCAAGTGATTCATTTTAAGTTATTAAAACTTCTGACGTGATGGGGCTGCAAAAGCTACATTCACGTGTTGTATCTTACATTGGAATAAAATGGGTCTGTGGTTTTAAGGGTAGTTAGACATAAAACTTTGACCGTCAAATATTACAATGATAATAAAACAATAAAAAAATTTTTTTTCAACTGTTCAATAATGATGATGAGAATTTCCATATTCCCCAACACAACTTGTGACTTCTTTGCATTGTTAAAGAGAAGTTGCTGCATGTAAAATATTGGAATGAGATAATATACACCACAGAGCACATAATTAACAAAGGTTATTTCCATGAGTCATTCACTCCCTAAGGTTATGTGGAATTTTATGAGAAAGCCTCAGGTGATTTGCGCAGTGTTTTGTTTCCAAGGTTCATGTTAACTAAACTGTAAAATGTCTCTATGACTAATTACCCTGTGTTTTCAACAATTATAATAATCTTTCGAAGGCGAGGCAGAATGGAGATAAAATAGATTACGACTTGTATCGCCTCCTCTTTTTAAATAAGGACTGATGAGATAATGCCTTTAAGCATTTAATCTTGCATGACAGCACTCCCATTTCCTTTTTATCAGAAACACACATCATGACTTGTCAGATCAGTTTCATGGGGTCTTTTATTGTGCAAATGTAGTGTGCAGAGCATGCACCAAGTGTCATATTTATAACATGAATAAAAGGCATATCTTCTTATTGCTTTACTATTATTAGACACAGATATATATTTAAAAGGCATACTTTTAAGTCCCTGATTATTAAGAGTTATTGATTTATCACATTAACATCTTTTTTAAAGGTTCTTCAGCATCCATAGTTGCATGCATAGCGTCATACTGTCTGCTACTCCAAACAAGGATATTTGATTATTGCTTAGTCCAACTATTAACAGGTGGACTGTTGTTTCAGTGATTTTCTCATGTTATTGCTTAAAATCAAATGAACTACTCTTACTACATCTGCTGTATACATATTTTCTTTGAATTTGCATAGTTCTTTATACATGAGTAAGGCATATATTCAGTGCAAGCAACAAAGTGGTGTAGGAAACAGCAGATAGTTACTGTTATAGTGAAACCATAATTCCATAATTATGCATCCTCAATAGGTTTCCCCGAGTCACTGCATAGTTTAGTGTTCAAACCTCACTTACATAAGTTTGTTGTGTCCATATTTAAAAAGCGAATGTTCATTCTTGATTCAATTTCAAAGCCATTCAGCAACTAAAAAAAAAAAAGAGAGTTTTCAATAAATTTAAAATGTATAAATGTATATGTATATTCTTGATAATGTCACTATCAGCATCAAGTGGTGAGGCTTTTTTTAATATTATTTGAGAGTTTGCTAAACAACAAAGTCTGAATTCTTGGCTCCTACCATTTCATTTGATATCAATTATAATCACATATTTAAATGCACTTTCAATCTATGGTTGTTTACTAAGAAAGTATAATTTTAGCAAACTATATACGTAAGTGTGTAGTGTGTGTGAGTACCAACCTTGAGGAAATGCTCAAATGTGATTCCCTCATAGAATTCATCAGGTTCCTGTATGTGAATAAGTGAATTTACTGATGTTGTGCAGACAAACAGTGAAACAAACTTTATGCTATCTTGAGATACTACAGCTTACATACCATGTGGCCCATTGAAATACTAGCCACCTCCAACATAGCTGCATCAGCTATGCTTTTGGCCGTGTCCTTCTCTAGTGCCTCGCTGAGAGATAACAGCTCCTCCACTACCTGGACAGATGTAAAAACAACTGTTGAAATAAAATTATATTACTACAGTGTCTCTAAGACTGAACATTAGCTACCAATTAGGTGTCTTTTAAGAAGGCAGCTGACTCAGAGAGAACTTCCTTCCTCCACAGAATCTACATCTTCACTCACCTTCGAAATTCAGCTGAAATGTATTAAATGATGGTGATAAAAACATACACAGATAACACTCTCATAGAAACTCATGGTGACCCCAGACTGTGAGTAGAGGTTGTTGTGATATATATATATAAACTAAAGTTAATTAACATAGTTTAAAAGTGCATGTTTTGTCCACAGAAGTGAGCAGAGTCTTACATGTCTGTATTCCTCAAGGGTTATTGTCCCGTCGTTGTCGGTGTCATGCATGTTGAATAAAACTGCAGAGCAAAACACAGCTATCAGGATAATAATCATAGATAATGTCCATCATGCAATCATGTGATTTGTTTGGAGACATACATCTCAGTTTGTCCCTCCTGACGCTCTCACGCTGGTCCTCTGTAATGTGCAGTGACGGGGGCCTGAAATGGGACATGACCAGCAGGAACTCCTCAAAGCCGATATCATGAACCGTGCCCTCGCCATTCTGCCGAAAGTTTCTACAGAAATGCAGAAAGAGCAAATATGCATACAGACGGTGTAGTTCTGACAACAAAAACTAACAAACATGAAGCTAAGCCTGACCTTTTATTCCACTCCATATTTTATTTTCAAAAAAGGCTGTTTGTGATACACCCAGAGTAAACTGTACCTTCTGTCAAAGAAGGCCTCTATGATCTGCGATCGGATAGGATTGAGTGCTAGATCTGGAATTTTGTTGAAGTGATCTCTCCTGCGGGTGTAAAAAAGGACTTTAAGGAGTGGCATGTGGTATCACATAATACATAATATGTGGTCATAAGCTTGCAATCTGCACGTCCCAACATGAAGCCTGTCCAGCAGGTTTCCAGTACATAAGAAAGTTGATGAAATGCCAAACCAATTTTCTAGGAAAATGCATTTGATTATTTAAACAAATCACATTCTAACAATATGGAAACCTGAAGGTGGCAGTGAAAAATTCACACCACTCAGTTCTTAGAAATCAAAATCAACTTACTGCAGAAAGTCTTCATTGTGGCTTAGCTGCTTGAATCTTTTATGTAGGACTCCAATCTGTTCAAATGAAACTGTAAACAGAAAAGAGGCAACCTTAAGTTAATTCTTGTGTATCCATATATAGCCTAAATGCTTACAAAAACTGTGAGACATAAAGCAGATACAGAACTCTTCAAATCTATAATAATTTTAGTAATTTGTTGTTTGTTGAGAGTATGGTAGTAGCAGCTGTTTATTCACTCATAAGTCCAGAGGCTTTCAAAGCAGCTTATTGGGATATTCATACTTTATGTAAAACACTTCGTGTCACCCTGCAACTATCACACTCTCCTCGAGGCTACAGGTAAATAAAGCAGCTACTGTGGCATGTGGAAACAAGTCATCAAAGGCAGGTATCTATAAAGACGTTGGCAAAGCTTTGTGTAGCCTACCTCACTCTCAAACTGGGTAAAGTTACACTTCCATTAACTTGCAGATTAAATAATTCATTTCTGCTGCACCGAACAGACAGTTTTCCTTGGACACAGAGATGCTGGAGATGTGTAAATATAGCCTTACTAAAGGCAAACAATGCAATGCAATCTTTTTGCTTAACGCATATTAGACATCACGTTGATATGATCGAATTCCCCCTTTAACATAAGACTGAAATAAAAATAGACAGTAGCGTATTCAAATTTTATTTCCGGTGCAGTGAGCTCATATTTTCACACATCCTACATAACAGACGTATAAAAAGAAGCGCTTAACGCCCATGCAAACAATAAAGATGACTAGGCTACTCACATCCCGTCTTTTCAGCCAGATCAACGTATTCTGGTTGACCAGGTGAGGATTGCAGTGCACCCATACCTCCCCAAAAAATAAAAAATAAATAAAAGCTGCCCCGGGTCAGAAAATTAACCGAAACTGTTGAGAATGAAACGGATCTCAGAAGAGGATCATGTTTCTGAATCATCCATCTCTACCTGAGTATTTGCATGACAGTCTCAGTGCGTTCTCCAGACAGGTCACATCCTCTGCTAACCGCGTAGGCTACTTCCGCAAATACCGTCCCGATGACGACACACATTTGGGAACAACAGGGTGCCGTTTGAATTATTAATCCAGAGTGTTTTTATTTGAGGATGCGACCATTGACTGTGACCTGTTTACAATCCGGGCAGGGAAGGTGGAGTGCAAAGAGAGTAAGAAAGGCATACAAGTAGTTCTCATATCTCACGATGCAGGCTCAAATGACTGAAAGGTGAGAGATATTTGTTCCAAACTGAAGTATTTTAATTACTTTTGGCTATTCACACAGGTTTACCTCGCCATGAATTATGACCAGCCCAACTCACTGCTGTAATCCATTCAATCTTGCCAGTTCCACAGGTGGACCCACCTGTTTTAAATTTGTGTTCAAAACATAGACTGTACACCCACAAAACCCAATTGTAATCTCTTGGCATTTTAAGACAAAATTAAACTACTGGTAAATACTTAACATGTCAATTTATATTTTTACAATATTTCTATTTGATGTAATTTTATAGCCGTACAAATATGTCATTTTGATAGATATATGGTTATATATAAAAATATTGGCCATGGAGCATTTGATAATATCCCATGATCTTCATCAGCAGGTGCAGTTTTCCACTTGTTGTAGATGTTTCTTTGTAGATGATTCTGAGGGCTGCAGAGCTGGGCTTTCTCAACAAGGTTGGTTTAAAAGTTGAGGTTCAAACTTGACCTTGATATGATCGAAAGCTACTTGAATAGCTACTAAAGGGACCGTGAGGTGAGATTGTTTGGTCAACTGCTGTGTTGCTGCAGTAGTCGTTAGCTTTCACAACTGAGTGTCATTTTCACAGCATATTTTCAAGGAAGGAAATTTGAACCTCTGACATACGATTTTGACTCCATGTGGTCAAAACTTCCTGAGCTAACTTTACAATCTGCACCCACTATCAGACCTTCTCTTCCTCCAAATCTGATCCACTCAGATTACTCTATTATGCCTACTTGATGTGTTTTAATCACTTTTTAAACAACACTTGACACAGAAAGAAAAATTACTGTGATTATTAAAGAGAAATGCTTAAGGCAGAACATGTGAGTGTGTGTCACCACTTATTTGAGTGCGTCCTGAAGCTAAACATGTTTTAATGCTTCAAACCACAGAAGAGTTGACAGTCTCTTAAATTAAGAGCCAGAAACCTGTCTTTAAATACACAGACATAAAATGTTGGTCTCATTCTTATCTCTCATTACTAGAGGTGAACACCAATGTTATTCAAATGTCTATTGCTTTTCAATGAAGAAATGCAAAACTAAAATCACCTTAGGTCATCCGTATGATTGTGAAGAGCTAGTCAGTGTTTGTGCAAACTGTAAAATGTGTGATTTTATATCCAAAGTTTGTTCTATTTTTGATCTTGTCTGATGTTGTATTCCAGTGTGCGCAGAACTGCCATGTGAAGATTTATCCAATACACTATCCGGTGTCTGAAAAGTTTCCATCAATGAAGCACAGCTTGATGACTATAGTTCAGACTATGATATTCATGCTTTGAAAGAAACTTGCTCATGTACATGACACAACTCAATCAATGAAATGACAAAAGTGAAACTAATTATATGCTAAATACCTATATTGATTAAATCTATCATATGTGATACTAATGTACACCACATGGTGGTAGCATTATGTCAGCTATGTAATGGAACACCTGTCTCACTCACTGTGTGTGTGTGTGTGTTTGTATAGTATAGTACTAAAAAATAGGATTTACTATACTTGTGGGGACCGACGTGTGTGCCTTTATACATTGATCACACTCAGTCACTTGAGGGTAGCATTTGAAGTTCTGTGTCATTCTCTTTACATTTATTCTGTTGAATGTATTATTAATAACAGGGTACTCATTTTTAGTAGGTATTGTATCAACAAATGATATACCATCACTTCTCTTTCACCCTTGTCTGTAAGGCATTGTGTAGATATCTGTTTCCAAAGCTGTCGAGCCCCACCATCTATAACTGGTGCATCCTCCAGTCGTGAGCAATTGACTGCTAAAGGTGAAGCAACAGACACTGTAAGCACAATAGCAACACAATTGAACTGCCTGAAAGAGAATCATCTTATCTGACTATAGTAATGTCCAATGGACATGTTCTTTTACATGTTATCTAACAGTGGGCCAAACATGATTAAAACCAGACATGCATGTATAAAATTCCTGTACAATACTGTATTCACACCCGAGGATCACTTTAGAGCTTTTGACACCTTCCTGTCTCCTTAAAAACAATCTGAAAGCCCCATTATGACACTAATCAATAATTAAGTAAAGGAAGGTGCAGTAATAGAAAGGCGCTATGTCGTGAGCATTGTGACGTTACTAGAATTCTTTATACTAAGATACAACTTTAATTAGAGTCCTACGTCAAGATATAATCATCTGCTTGTGAGAGCTCTGTATGCTCTCTGTGCCAATACAGTATTGTGTGATGGCTGGATTAACTAGTTTGAAGGCCCCAGAGCAATAATTTGGCCCCTATTGTCCGTCCTCGCCCAATCATTACTGCTATTGCTAACTACTTGGCTGTATGTTTTCTGTGCGCAATATAAACAAAAATAAACTCCAAAGGCTACCTTTTGACACAGTGGCCCTCTACAAGGCAGGGGACACAAGATTAGTGTAATGCAGGACTCACCTTAGTTGATATTGTACTTTGGTGGTGCAAATTCTTACACAGATTTGAAATGTATCACATTATATACAAACGGATTGTTTGGGGGGTTTTGGGCCCCACTTTGTCAAATTGTTAATCTACCTTTGCCTTAATAAATTTGCACAATAAATCCAGTTTTTTAAATTACCTCAACAACAAATAACTATACTGCAGGTTTTATATTGTAATACAGTTCAAAAACAGGGGAATGGACAAAGTCAAAGATTACATTCTCTATAGTCTGTTACATACTTATTAACATACAGTATACTGTAGATTTAGTTTTGTTTAGTTAACACTGTGCCATTTAAAGTGTAAGCAACCTGTCCAACAACTGTCAATGAAAACTAATGAAGCTTAAGCTATTGATCTCAGACATCGGATCACAACGAACGTGTTCATTTATTGTCCCTGTGCAGGGAGGAATTGATGCATCTAGTACGCAATCAATCTGGTCTAAAAAAAAATCACCAATACGTTTGCTTTTGTTTATCTGCCCCTGCCCTTGAAATGTTCTGTCCTGAAAAAAATGGTCTCACTTGCTGTGTGCTGTGTTTGTGCGTGTTGTAACTATTACTGAGCGCACTACGTTTGACGGCTTGAAATTGATTTGAATAAAGTCTCTGCTTCAGAGAGAGGGGGAGAAAATAAGGAGGTGTCTGTCACATACGGAGACAAAAAGGGGCGGAAAAGCGTGGCCAAGGAGAGAGGGCAGCCTGAGCCTGCTTTGCATGCACGGGGGCTTCTGTGGGAGAAGGAGTTGACAGGGCGCCGCAGTGCTGCCTCCAGCTCTCAGACAACAGCTGCTCAGAAAGAGGAGACGTCCTGAGGGTGCTGCGACATGTCTCGCTCTTTCTCCATCTCTCTTTTCACCTGTCTGCCTCTTCCTTTCACCGAACAGACGTACGCTAGACACATGTGCAACACATTCACACACACACATCTCTTTCTCAGTGACACACAAACACACACACAAACACACACACACACACACACACACACACACCAGGGCATGTGGGTTGTAAGATTCATAAGAAATTGGCAGGCTGCCTGCGTTCAAACAAAAAACCCAAAATAAACCAGGTAAAGCTGAATTTTTGATGGAATCTATTGTTTGTTATGCTCACTTGGAAAGATGTTTATGAAGAATAATTTTCAGCAGTTTAATGGAAATGAAATACTCTTCCTCTCCTGTTTTCTGAGCTGCTGATGACAAAAATTCAAGTTGACAAGGCTTTGTATTAACATCAAAAACCCATTTATTTTTATTTGCATTGGTGTGATTTGGATACTTATGAAGTTTGACTGATAGCTTTTGATCCATTTCCTCAACATGCAAAAAGAATAGGAAACCAATTTCTACCGCATAATGTTATTCACAACCTGAGCACCACACTGCAATATTTGTTTTTCTATTGTCACCATGACGTGTATGACAGTGATGCCTTCATATCTCGCAATAACATTGTAAGATTGTTTTATGTGACAGCTCACATAATTTAATATTGACGAAACTGTTCCCTTTCACACACAAAAGCTTATTAAAGAAAGAATCTTTGGCAACATTTTACTTAAAGTCCCCTATTTAGCATTCATAAAGTACATTTAATAAATGATTTCTAACATACTTTAATGTAGTTGTACGCAAATTTAAGGGTTTATTAATGTATTTGTCAACAACTACAATTCATCATGTGGGCACCCATAAGTGGATGCTGGTATATAAACACAGAATGGATGAATATAGTAAAACATTATGTATAATAATATAAAACATTTCCTGATAGGAGAAGTTACAATTGTTGACAACAGACAATTGCTGATATTGTAAAGAAATAAACACTTCAACATGCCCTTATAGTATAAGCTAAATAGGGAGAATGAAAGTGTTACCAAATCTTCTTGTGATAAACCATCACCATCTGTGTTGCCTCAGAAGTTTTTTTGTCATTTTTAACATTAAAACTGCAGAAAACTTTTAATTTCAATGAATCCAAATGAGAGCATGAAAATGTATGACCCACATTTATAAGGTGTGTTATACATTAATGTAAATGGATCCGAAATATGATTCAGTAGCCAGTTTTGTTTAGATGCTGCTAATTATTTTCATAAGTTTAGAGGTGACTCCGTTCTAAAAATCAAAACATCCAGAAAGGGTGGACGGGGTGCTAAGAATTGAGAAAGAAATAATTACTGGATCTCATGAAGAGCTGAAAAAATATCTTCTTTCTAAAAAGAAACTGTTTTATCTGAGTCTTGGATTTCACAGCGTAAGAACTTTTGTCTGACAATGCTTATATTGTCGTCTTAATCTTATTGCTCAT